GGTTAAAGTTCTGAATTCTTCCTGCTAACTGATGTTGTCTAGATTAAGCCTAACCCTGTTCTAATCAAGTCTAGATATCAGTTGAATAAAATACAGACTTCCTCTGGTATCCTGTCTACACTATATCTCCAAACACTGCTACCAATCAGGGAACAGCCCTCCTGATAGTACAATTCTAGGGGGCTTTAACAAAAAAGTGAGCACACCCAGGACCATGAACTGGTGCAGTGAAGGATCCAGTGAACACTCACTTATTCTGGTCTTGCTATAGCCCCTCATGTCAAGTCCTACTTTGGTTGGATCCTCAGCCTCTCAGCAGTTGGACAACAGATTCAGCAGTGTAACTAGGGTTAATAGAAAATATACTCCATGCTGGAATAAACAGAATTATTTGTAACAGTAGCCTATAACTACAACAGACAGACACCTAAATCCATCATAAACTACATTTTTGTTGTTGTGGAGCCTTCGCAAAAAGTTATATTCAGAGTCCCAAGCCTGTGGGGATTTTAATTGGTCATTTCTTGTGAAACGAGATTAGAAGCATGGTAAAAACAAACTCCAAAGAGCCTGGTACCATTTAACAACACATTAGTATTGTTGTTACTAATTGCACAAGATAATAAGAGGATTATGGTTCTGAATTCTGACCAAGAGTATTGCAAATATTTTTCCTCCTAAGGCCAGTAGGTTTACTCATCCCTCTCTGCTGCTATATCTTGTAAACAAGACAGTGTCAGGCAAACACTTTCATTGTTAAGTAGAGGTTTTCTGCATACTACGTGTTTATATTTAATTCTTGCCTGTAGAAGAAATGAACTTTGAACCGATCCCATTAAATGTTTCTCCTGTTCTCACCACATAGAATAAGTATACAGATCATCAGCTCAGAGTTTAACGAACATAATTTGACCAACCAAAAGAGGCATAAACAAAATAATTGAAACAAGATAAAAGATAATTGGAAAAGAAAAATGCAACTATTCAGAATGTCGAGTTCAGCATCAAGGAAGGGAAAAACGTTATTCATATTTTCTTCTGTTTATGTTGTACATTGTAGGAAAGATTTTTAGACTATGAATAATTTCTGAAGAAAATGGATTCCATGCTTCAGATTCTGCTTGAATATTGAACTTCTGCATTTACATATCAACTGGTGGCTATAACAAATTACTCAGTGGGCTAACAAATCTCTTATGTATTCCAAATCCTAGGGCCAAAAGTGTAAGTCAGACCCTTAATGACACCTGGCAGCCTACTCTACCTTAAGTACTAAACAGAGTTTTGCTAGATGAGTTAATAGCCTCCCATTATAAACCTAATGAAGAATAGGGAATTTAAGATCTATTAAAAAAGAATGTATACTTTTTCTTGGAGTTTAAGATTTGAGTCACAGAAGTAAAATAAAAGACTGAGATGACACTGATATATGAATGTCTGTATCTGTCTATGCCTATAACTATGTATAAATACACACATACATACATAAATGCATATGTAAATATACACACACACGTGTGTATTTATGTAGTTTTTGTTTGCCATTTCAAGATTTTGCTGTGTAACATAAATTCATAGATACATACACACACACATATGTGTTCTCTGTGTGTATACACACACATATGTGTGATTGTGTGTATATATGTGTGTATATATCTATTTATGAATGTATAAGATAGACAAAACTTGAAACGGCAAACTAAAGCTACATAAATACAGACGCACACACATTTATGTAGCTTTAGTTTGCCATATCAAGGTTTTTCTGTCTAGTATATACATTCATAAATACATTTATACACACATTCACACACGCAGTGAGTGTGTGTGTGTATAATTATGAACGTATACATTAGAAAAATTTTGAAATGGCAAACCAAAGCTACATAAGTCACTTATGTTTTCTTCTAAGACAAAAGATTTCTATTTACTTCACATTTTTGTCACTGCCTAAGAAATTAGGCCACTGAACATTTATTAAAATATTCTTTAAAAAATTAGTGTAAGATGAGAAAAAATAGGCACTCAATTTTTTAACACTCACAGATTAAGTTGTATACGTCATTCTGGTTCATTTACAAGATTGGAACCTAAATGCATTTTAAAACATTGTCCCATGCATACTTTCCAGCATCTGTGAAATGTTGTATACCTTTTCCTTGTGAGGTTGAAAAACATTTTTTTAAATTGAGCTCAGATTAACAAGGCTGCTTTTGTTGGACAACATCTTCAATGCAGGTATTTCAGTGCCTTATCAAGGCAACACCACTCTGTTTATGAACCAAAGAAGCAAAGGTATTAGTGCACCTGTGGAAATAGCACAATCGTCAATTAAAGTCACGAGAGAACGCAGGAAACAAATGTTTCTGTTGCTTTATAAAAATAGATCCCAGATTCCCTGTTTGCAGACACATGAGACTTCACTAGGATTAGGGTGGCTGTGGCTAGAAGAGTCATATATCTGAAAACAATATGCTTAAATCACGTGGGGTGGGGGTGCAGAAATGCTGAAGGATTCTCAGTGCCTTAAGTCCTGGGCACTTGATTCCCTGAGACACTTGAAAATCTCACTGGTTCTTTTTATCACAGTCTATACTTTCTTACTGTTATCATTCACCTACAATCCTTTAATCCTCATTTTGTGATACTGTTTTGACATCACTGAAGGCTAGATTGTATTTAAAAAGCCACATCCAGGATATAAGGAAGTACTGAGACATATCGTGCTCAAAGAAGCTTGGTTTTGGTACAATGGGTCTGATTCTCCTTCACTTAACTTCACTGTGAATCCAGATTAACTTCATTGAAGTATTATACCAGTATGAAGCTGCTGTGAATGAAAGGAAGATTAGCCCCTCTACTGCCAGGAGACCAGAGCAACCCCCAATAAAGTAAGGCCAGAGAAGGATAAGAACAAAGTGTCACACTATCTTACTATTCACTGTCAGAAGATAGGAACTGGCACTAAGGAAAGGGAAGAAGCACTATGTGTTACTTGTCTAACAGTGGAGCAGAGTTTTTGTGCTGTCATGAGTGTGTCAGTAAAAGACTTCAACAAAAATGAAATAAAATTGAATTGTGTGGATTCTAATACACTTCAAAGTGATGAACCATGCCTCACTAACAAAAGCCATAAAGTGCTACACAGCATACCATAAAAAAGAGTAACAGAATCTGGCCCAAGATGTTTGAAAGAAGATATATTCTATTTATGTTTATTTTTATATTATATTCATCTGTTATGTTTGCTTTTCTTCACCATTGTCATAAAGGACTAAGCTTTAAAACAACTTGTTGTGCTAAAAGAGCTGGTTAATATTTGCTGCCTACTAAAGTGCATTAAGAAAGATTTCATCTGCTGCTTAGCTATTATTGCACAGTTATAAAGTTTGTATTTTGCTAAGTACTGACTTGGCAAATATAAAGGTCATAGTAAAATAAACACTTTTAGAGCAAGGTGTAATTTTATTGAATTAATGTCAGTACACCGGACATGAAGTTAGCTTCATGAGATTTTTATACATATATGAAAGCTCCAGGGATTTTTTTTCTTTGTTTTGGTTTTCTTGCAAACATTAAGAGAATCTATAGATCTAAATCAAGAATATCATATCTTTTTTTCTTAAATTTTAAGGAACTTGGCACTCTTGATAACCAATGCCCAGTCAATGGTTCATGGTAGAAAGAGTGGTCCAGACTTCTGGACACCTGAAACCTTAGGCCAGCCCCCTGCACCCCTAAGATCCAAAGACCCCATCCTGAAGCACCCCATTCAGATCTAAACACACAGGCCAGAATACCTCTAAGACTCAAACATGGACCCAGAACCTCACAACAAACGATCCATATGGAAATCCCCTATGACCCAGACTTCTGCATAGGCTCACCCCGGAGTGAAGGAGCTGGTGCTGGTGTTCTGTGTCTGGTGTGGAGGGAAAAGAGTGCAATCAGACAGATAGTATCAGACTGGCAGGGACGTGCCTCTATGAAATTCATGGTTTGGCGGAGCTTGGATGGACCAGTCACTGACAGCCTATACCCCGGTCATGGGAGTTCAGGGCACGGGTGGGTGTTCTTGGCATGGTTGTTGCTGGCAGGTGGATGCCCCCTAGAAAATTCAGGGATTGAGTGGGGGCGGAGAGGGGGGTGAGGACATGGCCAGCCAAGCTAGGTCCAGCAGGTAAGTGCCCCTGGAAGGTTTGGGGCTTGGGAAGGCATGGCCAGGCATCTTGGGCACATCAGGTAGAAGCCCCTGGAAAGTTCAGAGGTTGGGGAGGCATCTTAGAGTGGCAGGTAAAAGCCTCCAGAAAGGTAAGGGAGAAGAGGTCAGCTAAGCTGGGGTCACTCTGAAAGGGGAGGCACACCCAACCAGACCCAGACCCGGACTCAGTCTGAGTAGGAACCATGCACCAAGACCCATATCCATGTGTCCCCACTTACACCCTTACAGCCAAACAGTTGCCCAGCCATGGACACCCAAGCCCCAGGGGCATCACCCAATGCCACGGTAGAACCCAGGCCATCATCATCTGCTACCTAGAGCTGAGGACAGAACACGACTGTTTAGGAGATGCCAGATTTTGTTGCCACCTGGGACAAGGAGCAGACCCAGGGGCAGCTGCACAGCATGCAGCACAACAAGGAGGTGTTCCAGTGGATTGCCAAAAAGTTGAGAGTGCAGGGCCACAACCAAACCTAGATGCAGTGCAGGGTCAGAACCAAATGGACGAAGACCCAATTCATATATATGAATTGATAAATGTATGTGTGTGGACACAAACATACAAGATAGTATGTGATGTTTGGGGGCAAAAGAATGCATCTTTTTAACATATATATGAGGAGAAAAGACAGAACAAAAATATATAGGTAATCAATAAAAGTGCTACAGACTGGAACATTGTATTTTCTTCTCCCTGTGTCAGAAAAAGAATTTAGCTTCTTACAGCAATTGTGTCCCTCAGATAGTTATTGTTGATATTGAATTGTTACTTCAGATAAACCTGCAAAGGAAGATGAGAGTCACTGGAGTTATAACCCAAGGTGCTAAGAGGATTGGAAGCCCAGAATATATAAAATCTTACAAAATTGCATATAGTAATGATGGGAAATCATGGATGACTTACAAAGTAAAAGGCACCAATGAAGATATGGTAAGATTAAGTTGTCTGCCTGTGAATGAAAATCCCAAATATAGCTGACTTCCAAAAGCCTGAGATACCTCTAGTAAGTGAGCAAAATTGCATAGCAAAGAAACAGAGAAATCAGTTTGATATGTATTGCCTTATTCATTTTTTCTGAAAAAAGCAATAAATGTGTAGATTATGCCTGCCCAGAATTTCTTATATTTTAATTGATGCATCTATAAATACAAGTGTCCCAAGGCTGGAATAATCCCATTTATTACACTTAACTAATTTTCATTTTAATTAGTTTACCAGTAATTACTCATTACTCTGTTTTCAATTTAGTTTTATTACATTAGCAGATTAATGTTAACCCTTAAAAGCAGAGAACCCACTTATCTCTGCATTGTAAAAACCGTAGCAGCCTATATAAAAGTTATTTTTACAATGTATTCAGAGCAGCGGGGGGGGGGAAACCCTCACTGTGCATGGTAGGATAGAGCTAAGTCATTCTGCAGAGCTGGACTGTTTCTGTTGTGCAGGCAGGAAGAGGCAATGCTGTGTGGAAAAGTATATAATGACGGGAGAAAGCAAAGTGCAAGCCTATCTAGTTAAAGTCAAGTGAGAATAGAAGCATGCTTAAGGGCTTAATTCAACTCTCACTGAAATCAATGGAAAGACTCCAGTTGATTTCACTGGGAGTTGGATCAGGTTCCTAAAGGCAGGAGGAAAAAATAAATGTCAGTCAGTGTTAATTATAGCAGACTAAAGTGAATAGGGATGTTTTAATATACCAGTTGAAAGAAAGATGTAATTTAGTGCATTTGTAGTTGGAGTATGCAAGAAGAAAGAGTGACAAATTAGAGGCCCCAGTTTAATAAGGTATGTAAACACATGCCTGTCTTCAAGCATGTGTAATCAGTAGTGATGTTTATTCATTTAGTTACCCTACTAAATCAGGTCGTTGTGGGCAGAATGTGAGAAGTTGTGAAAGGCAAGGCAAAACTGAAATCTAGAGATAGCAAAAAGAGCAAAATGGATGGACAGGAAGTTTTGAAAGTAAAGTGAAGATCCTGTAGTCATCCTAACACATTTGAAATGAGTATTTTTGCCACAGGTGTTCCGTGGAAATGTGGACAACAATACCCCCTATGCCAACTCATTCACCCCTCCAATCAAATCACAGTACATACGACTGTATCCCCAGGTATGCAGAAGACACTGTACTTTAAGAATGGAACTTCTTGGCTGTGAATTATCAGGTGAGTTTTCTGGCAATAATGATATTCTCTCATAAAAAAAATGTGTGCCAGTGGTTTAAAATATTAATCACCATACCCTTGGAATTACTTGATTGATATCTGTGAGGTTACACCAAGTGTGTTTGTCTCTGTTTATTTGTAATGAGCTAAGAGGGCATATACATTGACAAACTGTGTTAACATACTGACATCAAATTATTTGTGACTTGTTATGATTGTTTATTTATGCTGGCTTCAGCAATTACCAGCAAAAATCAAGGCTTCATTGTACAAATACATATTGAGACAGTCTCTGATGTGTGGACTATATTCTACAGAGACAAGACAAAGTATGGGAGAGGAAACAGACATGGAGAAGTGAAGTAGCTCATTCAGACTTGCATGGTAGCAGTAGAGGTAGAAACTAAGCACAGATTTTCTAATGATCTAATTTAGTGTCCTATTCATTGGGCCACATTGCTACTCAAGGATATAAAATCTTAGAAGTTGCAGGATCTCTGTAGGTGCAGCTGAAGACCATTTGAAGTGAATAAAGTATATTGGGCCTGATTGCATTTGAGATTTGATTTGATTTGATTTAGATTTGTTTTGTGACTTTCCAGCGGAAACTATAGTTGTGTCTTGTAGCAAAAGTAAGTGAACTAGTGGAGCTGATATAAACCCTTTTAAGGTCTGAAGTAGCAGGGGTTATAGCCATAAATATAAAGCCTGACCCCTAGCTATACTCTGCAAGAACTATGTTCCTTGTACAAATTCAGTAAAACATGTAAATTCTTTATCTTTTTCCCAGGATCATCCTTTTACCAGTGGGAGTCCTACAGTAAATGCATTTAGGAGTGACTTTTATATGACTAGCTGCTAACTGTACAAACAGTAGTCATTCAGTTAACAAATTATATATCAAAACAGCCTAAATTAAATAATTCTTGGTCCTCTAGTGACATCAAAACCAGATTCAGAAATGAAAAGTTAATGCATTAATCTCACTGAAGCCCTTTTCCAATATAGATAGATTTGAAGGTAAATAGAAACTCCTGTCTGGCTGGTTTAGTGTGTATTAGATTTTTTTCATGTCTTCCATTTCTGGAACCACAATTTAGAATAAGTCCTTGCCAGAATGACCAGGAATTGTTTTGCTCAAAGAACTGTGAAAGCTACAAAAGTGAATTGATTTCAGTGGTCTCACATCAGTTTCAAGGTCACCATTTCTCAGAAATGAGGTAGAAGTGAGAGCTCACCAGGACAACTTCAGTCTCAACTGAAAGATAAATATAATTATATGTAAAGACAGACTAATTCATTCTAGTTCCAGGTGATCTGTCTTAAGTTAGGGAGTATGTTTAGAGGTCTGGTCCTTTCAACTAAGTGCTGCTGCTGGAAAAGAGAATAATTTTTGAAAGAAGTTGGAGGGGGGCTAAGATTTGCTGTGCTTCTGATGGAGCAGGGGATTGTTTTTCTTTTTTTTTAAATCTTTCTGATTAAAGGAAGATCAAAAATGGAACCTTTCTTAGATCATGCTTCACCAACTATTAGGTACATAGCTAACTTTTTAAGCATATAAATAGTACTATTTAAGTGGGGCTTCAAACACCTTTATATCACAATAAGCTCTTTCTATTTCCTTGCAACAGCCACTTATAAAATGACCATGTATTAATTTCCGTGGATTCTACTGCAAACTTCTGCACTTAGCATCAGGTTCTGCCACCCTTATTTATGATGAGTGGTACTTAATTCTGAGAGTAGTCCTATTGATATGGAAGGCACATTTATGGAGTAAGGCCCAATTCAGTTCAAGTAAGGGGAGCAGAAATTGCCCTTCACTTCTGTTTGGTCATCACATTCTTGAATTGGGAAGGAACCCTGCATGATTTCTTGACTCATAATGGACTGTCCATCAACAATTCGTATGTTGTTTTCATAAGCGTTTTTAAATCTATTTATTCTTTATTAACATATAACAGAAAGCCATACAACATGAAGTAATTAAGGCAAAGCAGTCTTTGCATTAGGATAACTGGCCTGCTCTGCGCTTTCCATGCCTTTACAAACTCTGGCCTATGGCAAGACAGACAGTAATTTGAGCACAAGTCTTACAGATGGGAAATAGTCAATATGAATGTCTAGCTCTAGCACAGACTCCAAGTCTTTGCATAATCACATGAGATGCTGAATGTCTCCTAAGAGGCACTGAGCTTTGCTAAAATCAATGGAAATTGACTCATCATAGGTGGTACAAGGCTAAACTGAAGAACAAAGTTACTAAGCTACAAGACAAGGCTCTGGGGAGCATGCCATCAGTTCAATACACATTTTTCTAGTTTATAAACTGTAGCATACACTTCCCACTAGGCAAAGACCTATATTCACACCAGCCTAGACCCAACGAAATTTTTTTAATTATAATTTCCATGAAATCCTTGTGCCACAAAGATTAAATAACAGGCCATTTTACAGACAGGTGGGATACTGGGCCAACAGTTTGACCCAGTCCACTCACCTTGCTGAATCTAGCCATTTATCTCTACATCTTTTACCCAGTTTATAAAATGAGGGGAAATTACTGATAGGGGCATTTGGACCAGGCATTTAAAGTTTGTACAATGTAGTGAAGATAAGAAGCTCCTTCTAAACACAATTTAAATGACCTTTGAAAGTACAAAATATGCACAGTTTTACAAAAGTCTTATGTCTCTGGCCTTTGTATCTCAATGGAAAGACAAGTGGAAAGTTATATGAGTTGGATGTCTTATTATTTTGGAAAGATTTCTTTGAATGTATGTTTTGTAATGGATGTGTTTTGCTTCTATATAGTAATAATGTGTTGTTCATACTCCTGTGTACATATTGTTATTTCCTTCTGGATTAGGATCTCCCTTTCTCTCTCTCTCCCTTGCTTTTCTCTAAGAAGCATAACTTTTGGGTTTTTTTCCTCCTTTTTTGGAAAGGGAGGGAGAACAGTGGTGAATTGCATGCATGATGCCCAGAAACACATAAGCAGAAAAATGTCCAATAAATCCATAGTAGCATTCAGACAGCCCACAAATAATGGTCTGTTGGGACACAGAAAGCTATAACTTTACCATCTGTGCCCTGTCTTTGTGGCACTTTTGGGCACAAAATAGAAAAGCTCTACAAAAGCAACCTATGACTTCATTCCCTGTGATAGATTAATCCAGTGTTGAAAAACAAACTGGTTTAACAACCCATATTTGTGTGTCAAGCACTTCTCCTTTCTTCAAATGAGACACTCTTAGATACAGTTGTAGTGATCCAGAAGTAAAAGCCTGAAATTGAATAATAAACAAAATCTCTTGCTAAAGCAATAGATGAGTCTTTCTTTAAGACCAAGTCACTCCCTCCCACACAGTAATCTTTTCAAGGCATGAAAAAAATCTGTTATTCAGGAAACAACTTGGTGTTTTTAGCTACAGAGGATGGTTTGTAGCTGAAGTTCTTGTATTTGGAATCAAATTTAGGAAGGTTTTCAAAAATAACTCATATTGTAGCTTATTTTTTTAATTCCATAACATAATGTGCCAGCATCACAGATATGTCACTGACAAGTCATTTAACTGAAAAGAAGTAGCTATACATTAAAGAGCTACTGGTATTTCATAAAACTCTTGTGGGGTGGTAGGGAGGGTCTGATTAGAAGCATTTTCACATACACTTAAAACCATTGTTTTCTGTATTCCTCTTCCTTCACTTGGTAATATTCATTTTCTTCCTTCACTTGGTAATATTCATTTGCTTCTTCCATTTATTGATGATATGAAGACATTGTACTCATTTACACTCATTAATAGTTCTGTTCAGTGACTGGCGTAAAATGGGAATGAATGGATGCATCTACACATGCAGTTAATACAACGGGATAAACTCCAGAGTTGTTTGCACTGGAGTCAACTGCTCTTGGGCACAGTGTGTGCATGTTTGCCTGGGACAGCAGCAGCCTGAGCTAGGGCAGAGCAGCTGTGGGCTGGCAGCAGGCTCAGGTGGTGGGGAGGGGATCAGCCCCAGGCTCTGGATGGCAGTGTTGGGCAGCAGAGGGGATGGCTGGGGCACAACAGTGTAAAACTGCAAAGCTGTGTGGCAGGCAGCCCCTGCATGTTAGCACCCTTTTTCCCCAGTCAGTACCTGTCACCACCTATGTGTACATTTTGGCAAAGTAAGTAACTGTGCCATAAGATAGTACTTTCCGCAACAGTATTATCTTATGGCAAAGTTAAATTATTTACTGCATTCTAATACTGGCACATGTGTAGACAGTGATGCTTTACTGTGGAGCTAACTAGTCAATTTTGCAGTAAAGCACATGTATAAATGCACCCAATGGCCATGTCCACATGAGCATAGACGTTTTCTTTCCTGAGGACAGCTAGCAGCAGCATACCATGTGCCACCGCTGGTTGTCCCTGGGGAACACTCGTACCACATGCCCTCTGGGGCTCAGCAGGTTACCCCAGGGATAAGGTAGGGGAGGCTGGAGGCAGTACTGGGCTGGCCCCAGCAACCTTACCTGGGGTCCTGGGGGCAGCAGTAGCAGCGATCCTGCCTCTTGGAGCTTGGCCAGCAGCCAGAGTGTGGCTCTGGCTGGTCAGGCTCCAGTTTTGAGATGTGCATGCTGCCCCCGTGTGCACTGCTCTGCTTTTTTTCTGCATGGGTTTTTTTGACTGTCTGCCCACCCACGCTACTCCCTTGCAGCATGGAGAATAACTGAATGTACAGTATGTGGTGCCACAGATGTGTCTGCGATTCCACACACCACATGGCAGCACTTGTCTGGATGCAGCTGATGACAGCAGAATTTACCTGAAGGCCAGTCCTTTAGTCTCATATCCTATCTTGTACCTATTCCTTTTGCCTTAAGAGCTCTTTGGCCTAGCTGCTTCTCCATAATTGTAGTCCTGCTGTTACAGTGCTGCCTTTACACACTATTTCTCCTGCTACCATGACCAACCTATTTCCTCCAAATTCCTAATGCATCTTGTTTGTTTTTAATGTAATATACCTCTTAATCCATTGCAGGTAGCTTGGCAGAGATATTTAACTTATTAAAGCTCATCCACTCCATCTATGATTTTTTTCAAAGAAATCTAACAGAGAAGACTGGAAATGAGCAAGGTTCATCAGTACCCATTTTCATCTGTACACAGAGTATATCAATTATGTAGTGTCTGCTTACATGATTTTAGTAGATTATATCTGCTTAAAATTTTAGAGAAAAGCACCCTCTCACCATATTTTATTGTATACCCTATTTTCTCATATACAGCATGCCTCCTAATATCATAACCACCTTGTTTTTGAAAGTTAGAATGAAGGAAAAAAGATTTTTCCAGAGTTATGGTTGCACAGAGCAAGGGCAGAACTTAATTTTCAGTTGAATCGCCCTCCGTCTCCTGCTTAACTAAAGCTTTAACTCTGGTTATCGGTGAAGGCTGGTCTCCAAGGATGGTTCTGTAATATTGAAAAGAGCTAAGGAATCTCACAAGTAGTGGAGGAGAGGAAGGACTGGAGAGACTAGAAGCAGCTAGTGGATAGCAAAATTGGTTGCTTGATTAGTGGAACATCAAGACCATTAAGAAAGGGAGATGATCAATAACACCTGTGAAGTGAAGAACAAGGAGCCATTAAGTCACCTGACCCCCTCAGCTGCCTAATAGTATTGCTACACCTGCTATACTGTGGAATAGAAATCAAAGGAGTATGCTTCTATGCTGGGCAGAAAATCAGCTTCCCCACTTAATACATGCATCCCAGTTGGAGGTGCAGGGGGCTGTTTTGGGGGCCAAAGATGCATGTTATATGTGAGAAAATACAGTAACACCTGTGGTCTTCACTTTACTGCTTTTTTTTTTTTTGGTAAGATATCAAATAATGCAAAAGTGTCCTTAATATTCCAGGAATTTATTTCAGCACTAATAGAATTAATAAGAAATGCATACTTTATAGAACTCATGGTAGAGGTGATCTCTTTTATTAGACCAGGTAGATTTTTGCAAAAAAAAAATCTTTAGTTGCAAGTTTTCGGGCACAAACACCCTTCTTCAGGCATAGGAGAAAAGACTGTAAAAGTTCTCCCGGGTAGAAATGAAAGTTCATATTTCATAGAAGCGTTGAAGGTGTGGTAAAATCTCCTGTTTGGAACAGTTCATGTTATATGAAGAACAGCATTTGCTTTATAGAACAGTATTTGCTTAGTTCATTAATGTGGCAAGGTATAAGTCAATTGGTTGCTATACCGGGAGGGGTCCTCTATGTTAGTAAAAATATAGCTGAATGAAATGTTTTGAAATCACTACATTCTTTTACATTTTTCCAAAATCTGATAAACTAAAATGGCTTGATTTAACTAGTCCGTCTGTGTTTGTTTGCAATTTCCCACAAAGATGTTCATTATTAATGCCCTTTCTCTGGGAATTGCTTTCTTTCTTGTAAAAGAAAACCTAAGTCTCTTAGGAAGTTAAGTAAATAGTCTCATAGATTCATTTTCACTTTTTCAGGTTGCTCTGAACCTCTTGGGATGAAATCAGGAAATATACAGGACTTCCAGATTTCGGCCTCAAGTATCTTCAGAACGCTCAATATGGACATGTTCACTTGGGAACCTAGAAAAGCTCGATTAGACAAGCAAGGCAAAGTGAATGCCTGGACTTCAGGTCATAATGATCAGTCACAGTGGTTACAGGTAAAGTTTTGCAGATGTTTTTCCATCTGTTCATGTTTTATATGTATCTGTATTGGAAACGTTGTTTTAGGGCCCAGTCTTGCTTTCCTTATTTCAATGGTTGTGATCCATATACTTCTGCGTTATACTGGGAAGGAAGCAACAGAGAACCCAAACTCCAGTAAACCTGTACATCACTGTGTACCTGTCCATTGAAGGTTGATAGGTGTCAACATGTAAAACAATGCTGTAACAAAGAGTGGAAAAGGGCATTAGCTAAACCTCCCATCCAGTCATTTACGAGGCACCCAGAAGCTGTGTTATTATTGTTAATGGATGCCCCTGACTGGCTTCTCGACAGCCTGTTGAGAAAGATTTGTATTCTTCAGGCCTCAAAAAATTGGGGAAAAGCCCATTAACCTGAACTTTTTACATTATAAGTAGACTTGGCCCACAGAAAATACTTTAATTGAAACTATTAAAAATTATCTTTCCCTACCACCCATGAATCTAGTAAGATTGATTCAGTAAATGAATTCATTAGGAAGCTATGCACCTGGGTTGTTTTCAGCCTAAGAGTGATTTATAGAAGTTACTGGGAGGCTAATGTGAAAGATAGCAACAAATCACTGTGTAGAAACCTATTTGACCAGTCATTGCTATATTTACATTTTTGAACTGTTGTATATTGGAGTGTTTTGAATCAACTGCCAATTTGGAATACAATTCTCAGCATGAAACCTCCCCAGCATAAGAAGTGCACCACTAACCCCCTGCAGTCTTTTCACATATAAATTATGACTTTATTAGCCTTCTTACCTACAGTTACTAAGCAATTTAGCAATGTAATTATTACCCCCAGTCTCCGTTTACACACGCAGGGGAAAGAAGTAGGGACTGCTTTGTCTGTTTATCATTTGAATAATTGACAATGTCTGGATTTGGTGAAATTTTCTTAAAATGGTCTCTTGAAACCTGGTAGTGTAAGAGAGATTTTTTTTTTTAAAAGAAAGAAGTAGTTTTATTTTGTAGAGAAGCAGCAGGTGAGAGTCTCTCTCCACAAGCAAACAAAAAAGGTGGCCGTATCTGAAATGATTGCTGCCTCATTGC